ACTGCAGGGTTGGGTTTTAAGTCTTTAAAAAACGTAATCAAAATCTTAGCAAAATATGGTTCTTTTCGTTTTGCTATTTTTCCTGGTCAAGCTTTTATCGAAAGATGGCCTGAGGTGGAAGCTTTTTATTGTCCGCCCCCCTTTTAGAATGGTGAGCTTTAGTTTGTGGTATATAATTGTGGGATGGAAACACCTTGTTCCAGATGTGGGGAAAGCATATGCACCACAATTAGCATAACAACTTACCTGGATCAATGATGGTGGTCGGGTTAGTGAGCTGCAGGAACATCAAAAATGGGTCAGTGGTCCCACTCATCTAATGACCCAGGGAATTAGATCAGGTTGCCACAGATCCAGTTTTCCATAACTCTAAACTAACCACCCAATTAGTCCTGCTGTAAAAAACACCGATACTCATCCAATTGACCTATTTTGCTTACTTAGTCCTCCAACAAAAGAGCTGGAGATAAAGAGTGGCTTAAAAAGTGGAAAAGCAAGCTTCTCCAATATGGAATTTCCTGCCAAACGGTTTGATTGCAGTGATCTGCTTGGTAAATGAGAAAGGGGCTAGTGATGGATGAATCCTCATGGGACGTAGCAGGCTGGAGAAGATGGATGGGAATATTCCTACAATGGGGACTTCTAAATCCCAATGCTGTGATTGTATGTAGCAAGAATTGACTGAATTAAGTCTGTTGTGAGAACAGGATTCATTGTTTCACTGAACTATCTCCTTCCCACCCAAAGATGCTGGTAAGGCTGCTGTGAAGAAGCACAACAAATTCAAAAACTCTAAGGCTATCGGTAGTGACAGCTCATTGAATAGCCCATTGCTGAAGGGAATTTTGAATATTTTTTCGTTCAAAATAATGCATTTCTGAATGCTTTTTCCCAACTATTTTACATGCATTTGGGTATGGTTTCAGAAAGTGGCAGCATCTATCCACCCGTGGCCCATCTCAGAAGCTAAGCAAGGTGGAGGACTACCTGGGAATCCCAAGGTTATTGGTTAAACTGGGAGGTTAGAAATAAATCACAGAAGGCAGCAAGGGGAAAACAACTGAGAACCCTGCCAAGGAAACTGCATAGATCCTAGGAAGTATGATCTAAAGAGATCTTTACCACTTACCTTTTGGAGCTATGGATTGTGCTCCAAAATCAGAGAAATAACTGCACTCTTATATCACATATTTGTCGGGAAGATACAGGTCATGTCCAGACCATGGGACACAGGAACATCATACTTGACTATTTCTACTTTCTCTAATACCTACCTACCTACCAACCTACCTACCTACCTACCTACCTATGTTCTCTAGAGGTTTATTACAACTGTTGGATTATTTAGTTACCTCCACACATTTTTGCCGCAGGATAAATCACACATTATAAACGTACTATTATAAATACCCACTTTACAAACATAGCAGTTTCCTTTTTTTAACATTCCAGTCATCATGGTCTTTTAATTAAGAAGAGGTCACGTCTCTAGATTGGAAATGTAAGCATTTTGTTTCTGTAATAGTAGTTGTGGGTCCTCTGCCCAAGACTGTACACACATTCAAGTTATCAAATTAGGACTGGAGCATTCCCATAAAGACTAACAGGTTTTCTATGACTTTCATAAGCTACAGTCCACATTGCAAATAAATTAATCTCAGTTGTCCCCTTTCTCTGATTTACAGTCCTATTTCTCCTGTGTTGAAACTGTTTCTGAACAGCTGGAATATTCATATATATTTCATAAAGATGTGAGTTGATAAGCCAGAAGTTCTATGTACAGAGACTAGCCCTACCCTTATTCCATTTGTTTCTCTTTTACGGAATTTGTGCATGCTTGTTGGTAATATTTCTATCCCTGTACATAGCTTGTGTTTCAGAATTGTAGTTTCACACAACCACACAATTAGAGTTGGAAGCAGCCAACCCTCCACAATGTGCAGGAAAACCATGAGAGGTGCTTGTTCAATCTTCCTGGAAACCTCCAAGGATGGAGAACCCATTGCCTCCATACATAGACTGTTCCACTCTTGGACAGGTTTATTCCTCAGGGACCCATGTTCCGTAACATATCCATTCTAAGGAGCCTTTGATTTGCTGAGTTGCAATACTCTGCAGCAGGTGGAGATGGCTGATGGGTTCTCTGCCTAAGTGTGCATATACAGACCACTACAGCTTTCCTTCTTTCTAATTATGTTTTTCACTCATGCCCTCACTGGGGGAGGGGCTCCTTTCTCACAAGTCTTGTCCTGTCCCACTCTCACTTAGCTTTCGGGGGTGCAATTTCCACACTGGAACAGCGCTGTCACTGCCACATATGCACTGAGTAAGCAGGGATTTCCCAAGTGCTCTTTCATTTGTGTCTCCTGGCATGATTGATGCCACTTCGAAGTGGAGCTGCAGCCCTGGAGTTGCTTTAGCTCCATGGCAACAGTAAGAGGTGATAAGCCGGCCAGCGCTGGCAGCTGATTCAGGGATCTCTCTGTCTTTAACAACTTACAGTCAAGAAAGAGACAAAAGATAAGTAGAGGAAGAATAAACCAATAGGTGACAAATATGTTAATACTGTAGGAAAACTAACACAGAGCCTACAGGGACACCACTTCATGGGAAAAACATTTGTACTGCAAAGGTGGAAGCAGTCTCCTCTTAGCAAAGGAAATCTACTTTCCTGCTTGAATGCCAGTTCAGGCCTTTGTCTACAGGCCAGCAATTGCTTTCAAACGTCTGCATTACAGCCACAAGAGGGCACGAATGTCTTTCCAACAGGACACACGGAATTTAGTTACAAATGGGGAGATCCAGGTGCTTTCTGAGGCTGCAGCGGTCCTTGAATATGCTGATGTGTGGCCAGGCATCAGCGCAAGTCAGAGATTCTACCTCTGCCCAAGCTGCTTCTTCATCTCTTCCATCTAACCCCTCCATTTTGACCGTTGCATTTAGTAGTAACTGAGATGGTTCTGCTCCGAGTGCAAAAAAAAAAAAAAAAAACGGATCCTTTGGAGTACTTAAAATACTAGTTGCTGTGACAACACAGCGGAGGATGGAGCCTCATCCAAGGCTTAACAGCTGAGAGACAAGGGCTAATTAAATACCAGCCTGACAGAGAAATTAATAGATGAGAGATGAGCCTTGTCCAAACTGGGATTCTTCAGATTGGTGTGACCTGGTCCCTCCCTCGGCTGGTGGTTTGGCATTCATGTGTATGGCCACAGCCAAATAAGGTGACAGGATCCAGGGCAAAATAGACTAAAGATGGAAGGATCTTATTTTTCATTGGGGAGAGGGATTTCAAGTGCAAGAGAGCATCATGACAGAGCAAGGATCAGTGCTGGTTCTAGCCCAGTCTTCAGTGAGGCTGAAAGGTCCATAATTCCTAGCAAGGCTGTTAGTTTTTACAACACGCATCTTTAGGCAAGATGACACAATACCAGGATAGGGATAACCTGGTTGCAGAACACTTACCTTAACTCCAGGAAGTCCCAGGTCCTCTTTTGTGGCATCAGCAGTCAGAAGGCTCTCTGAAGGGTGAGAAAAGACCCTGGAAAGTCACTGCAGTCAGCACAGATCAGTTTTTCCCCAGGCAGGCATCTTCTGTATCTGTTGGACTTCAATTCCCATACCTGGCTGAGCACGACAAAGGTTGAAATCCTACTTATCTGCCTATTTTGATCTCCTTCAACCTATAAAGCCTGGAACAATCTTGACACATTCCTCTTTTCATAAAAACTTGCTGACCTTCTTGTCTCATTGCTCTGCTTCCAGAACTCAGAGGAATGACAATGAGAAACAGCCTTTTTCAGAGCTTGTACCCTTCTTTTGGAGAGCTTTGTCTAGAAGTACTCAAGCACCATCAATTTCACAGTTTGTCAAAGGCCAAGTTATTTTTATTCCCTTAAGCCCTTCTTTCCTGGAAAACTTTGAGAAAATATTTTATCAGAATGCACTGAGATTTTTCTCTAAGTAATACAAAAAGTCCCTTTGTAACAAAGCTTGTTTTCAATAGAAGAGAATATTTGCAGCTCAGGGTTGAACTATGGAGTTCTTGGTGCTCTCTGAACTTGGTTGTTTGCTTGCAGATGTTTCATTAGCCAACTAGGTAGCATCACTGGTGCAAGTGAGTGTGGATTTGCATATAAACATTTACACATCATTCAAGAGAGAGACACCCCCCCCCGAAAAAAACCTTAGGAAGGAAATGAAAAGACAACACATTCTCTCCAACAGCCCACAGTCAGATAAGCAGGGATCAGCACCAGACAAACAAACAGGCAGAAAACAATTCTCTAATCAAGTAACCACCAAGGAGGAAATTACACCCCCACCAAAACTGGAAAGGCAAGATATTGCATATAAATAGGCAGCAAATCCCACACTCACTTGCACTGATGATGCTACCTAGTTGGTCAATGAAACGTCTGCAAGCCAACAACCAAGCTTAGAGAGCACCAAGAACTCCAAAGCTTGTTTGATCGACTTGGAGAAAATAACTTGAGTTATGACCCTAGGACTTCACTTACCTCAGAGTGTGTGTGTGTGTAATTTGTGAAACAAGGATAAAACTATCTGTATTCCTTGCTAAACTCTTAAAATCATTAGTAATGATTCACTTACATTATATACACTTAAAGGGAGTTATGATCATATTTCTCGTAGGAGCAGCTCTGAACCAAGGTGCTTACATCCTGAACTTCTCATCAGGTGATGCTGCTAAAATGGGAAGGCAAACTACTAAAACAAACCAACAAAAACTCTTGACAAAATTGGAACTGGATTTAGATTTTAAAAAAGTGTATTGGATATCCAATACCAAATAATAAACATGACAGTATTAAAAATGTAGAGAGTATACAGCAAATACTACAGAAAATAATGTACAGAAAGGTAGAAGTTTACAGCAGTCCTCAGAATTCTCCTACATCAAAACTGTAAAGCAATATACAGGAGTCTCTTCTGCCCCCACCCCCCACCCCCTCCCCCTTATTCAAGTGGAGGAAGCTGCACGTAGCAGCTATGAGGCTACAAGTTACACAATGTTGCAAATTTAAAACCACAAGATATGTAAAAAAACAGTGTTAAAATGTAAAAAGTGCAATACATATTGTACGCTGGCTTGAATAAATGTTTTCTTTTTGATTCAACCTTAAAAAACCAACTCTGAACAGTTGCTTTATTATTAAAAATATTCCCAACCCCCCACCCCCTTCCCAGATTCATGGCGGTATCAGCATTCACTGTGTTCTACGTAAGTAGCAATAGAGTCACAACAACCCACCAATGGGGGGGACACTGAGTATACAAGATGGCATTTCTTTGGGTCTAGTAAGAGAGAAATGTACACATCTGAGGAGCAGAATGTGCGCCTCAATTAAATTCACTGGATGCAGTGAGAACTCCAAAGATAGAAAAGACTTCATATTCTTGGCTATGAGAAAAGGTCTGTACAATGAAAAACTGCCATATGGAACACTTCTTGCCACAAGAAGACCCATTCAATGCGATTTACCTTTACATGTCTGTCCTGCCTTTCCAACAAAGGTTCAAGCACATTATTGTCACTTGCCCTGATGAAGTCAACTTTAGGACACATCTATAGTTCAATTCAGAGAATTCCATTTTAACATTTGTACATACATTAGGGTTTTTAATTTACTCTTTTAACATCTTCTAATGAGGCAAAAGAATTTTAAAAGATGTTTCTGGTTTATGAGGGTGAGAAAGGGTGAGACCTTCCCCTCTAGTTCGCATATCAAAGTTGCAAACTGCTCCCACCCTCCAAAAATGCATACAGAAGATACCTGACTGCAGGTCAAGGTGTGAACCTTTCCACTCCTTGGATTTAACTGAAAGCTGGTCACACTTTTCATTAAATGCTCCAACTCCAACCAAACAGGAGGATCAAATTAACTCACTAGAATGAAAGATGTAGTAGGCAGAAATCCACACCCTAACAGTCAACTTATGGATGTCTCTGAGGTGTCACAATGGTTACTACTGGAAGACAGAACACTGAGCAAGGTGGTCTACTTTAAGTTTTCATGGCACTTCTTATATAATTGCAAAAAATATTCTTTTAAAAAATAGATGGCTTATTGTTTGGATTCAGCTTGGCAATTCTTAATGCTCATGTTACAGCTGCTAATCAGAATGAATCAGTTCAGCTCATCAGTTCAAACAAATGCTGATCTGCAATGGTCCATGGAAGGAAAACAGCATGGAAAAAGGAGAAATGGGAGGGACAGAAAGACAGAGAAAGGGTGACGTAGCTCTCCTCTCACCTGCTCCTGAAAATAATTTCTTCCCTGTACTATTTTAGAATGGGATAACGTATGCCAGGTGATTCTAAACCTGAATTGCTACCAACATACAATCCAAGCTTTAATCACACAGGAGGTTAAAAGAACTTACAAAGTCTCTAGTTGATTCCAGCCCTGTGTGCTTCTAAGGTTATGAACTACCTCATAATCTTGTTAGCACTTGGTACAATACCATTCAGGCCAATTAAGTTTGTTACAATAAAAAAAAAAAAAAATCAAAGCCTCCCATTCTTCAATCTCTGTTTAAGCCAACATGAGATACCCAATGCTGGTTTTTTTTGTTTATTTTTAAAAAACAAATATTCCTTTTTCAGCATGTTAAGCTGTCATCGTAGAAGATGGCAGAGAACAATATGATTATGGGCAGCAAATATAATAGAGAGGAAATAGAATTTTACCAGCTTATTAGGCATTTATTTTATCTCTCCCCCCTACTTCTTTTACTGGCTTGAGCAGCACCTGAGTCACAAACATACATGCCTACATTTTTTTCCTCTCTCCTGCAAAGATAATTTGTTTTGATTGTGGTTCAACACTGAAAGTATTCCCCAAAACCTTTAAGATAATCTACAGCTACATAGAATGGTGGCTCACACATAGCTTACAACTGATCCATGTATGTTAAAATATCTGGAATAAAACTCATGCTTCAATGTAAATATTAGGAACTATATATCTTTAAAATCAAACATTCAAACAATGAAAGCTGTCCTGCTAAGATACGCTGTGGTATCTTATCTTAAAGGACCCAACATTATGAGTGGAACATCCTTTGCAATTGGCAAGGAACAGATTAAATGACTAATTTACAAAGGAGATGAGAACTTAAGTCTTCATCCTATTTTTAAAATTCCCTTTGATGAATTGGGGCTGATTAATATGATATTTTTTGGAGCCACAGGAGTAATGCTAATGTACTTTTGGCAAGGGCTTGTATGGACAGAGGTAATGACAAAAGTGAGTAATCGCAGACAGAGTTAGTAGCCATTCTGGAATTATTCCTAATAATAATTTATTTAATTCACATCTGGGCATACTGTAGGGGATGGTTTAAACTAGTCCGATGAATAAAGTTGCATTGCATTGCCCCTGAAAACAGTGAAACTTCCTACCACTCTGTGGCTTCCAGCCCAAGCCTACCTATTCTACTCCCATACTGAAAACGCTCAAAAGCAAAAAGTTTCTCAGTGTTACATTTCAATCCAAACAGATAGCTAACCTCACAGTGATGAGAAAGGATCTAGTCAGGCTTTTAATTATTATAATATAAAAATAAAAAAGCTTACAAAAAGCAATGCAGCATACCCCAAGGCCATGGATTAACTGCTGGAAGGTGACATAATTATACACACTAAAAAAGAAAGAAAAATAAAAAAACCCAACCCAAAAACGAACGAATAAACGGAACAATCCACACTGGCAATGAATTCCCGTACACAATAGAACAAGCAATCAGACATCCGTCTAGGCTGTGGGAAACAACACAAATTTCTTTTTTGTCAGATTACACTTTTTTTTTAATAAAAAAGATACAATAAAATAAAAACACACAAATAAAATTGTACATAAATGTGAATGTCCAACACTGAAAAAGCAGGGAAGGTCACAGCACCGAGACAAAACCTGTCTCAGATTAATGCTAACTTTGTCTGGATACTAGATTTCATCAGCCTGAGACATCTCCCCACTCCTCGCTTGTATCATCTCAGCAAGAAGTGGAATCCCAACATTCAAACAGGTTCATTTCAGGGTAATGAACTAGAAAAGTCACTTGGTTAACCAGAACTGGCCCCGATGCTGCAGCTGGTTGCAGGTCCCTTTTGTGCTGTCCCCTAGTCTTTATACATTTCCTTGTGCTCCAAGGCTAAGCCCCAAGACCTGTGAACTAGGATTTGGAGTCATTCCTTGGGGAAGGTGATCATGCTGTGGTGATGGCATTAAGGTCCTTCATTAGTCCTTCCAGGTGGGCCATCTCTTTGGTGAGTTCATCCGGTTCATAATTCTGCAGGAGATTTAACAGGGTTATTGGACAAGATGAGCTGCACTGCTGGGCAGGGAGGAAGAAGAATTATGGCCAATGGTGCTAAGGTAGGACACAGCAGCAAAGCCACATTGCTTGGCTATGTTGCTGCAGAAATGGAAATGGGCCCTTCTAATTTTCATTTTGCAAAAGCAATGCAGGGAGAAAAACGAAGGCAATGGCAGCACCAGAACACATAATCTGAACATACCCAGACAAATAATAAATGAGGTATTAAGGCAGAAGTGATGGGAGAGGAGAAAACGAGCAAGCAACTTTCCTGCACCCACAATTATAGTTATGAAGTAATGATTCATGTTTAATTGCCTCTCCAAATTTTGCTATTACATGAAAACACTGAATTAGATCGTTGGTCCCTTCAGAACAATACTGCCGAGCCCATTTAACTGGAGCTTTAGAAGCCTTAGCAGTGCTATTTCAGATCTTTTAAACTGCATTACTAGGACAAAAGGGAACATCTATTAAAGAGAAGAAATTCATAACTATTGATGAACCAAACATGGGGGCAATTAACAGCAGAGCACCTTATAAATGCTCAATATATCCTGCAGTTAACTGTAATCTGCTTTTAAAAAGCTTGGGCTGCAATGCTGTGATCCAAGGGGTACCTTCCTAGGGAGTATAGGATTGTTGGGTTTTCTCCAAGGTCAGAGGAGAGCTCTCTAATATTGCACAGAAATCCAACACTGGATTCCCAATCCCACCAATATTGCTGGCCTTTAAGAGGGGTTGATCCTCACGCTGGAAACTCCAACTTCAGTTAGATAGGACAGAGTGTGCCCCAGTGGTTGCCAGGAGATGGATCAGGAAGTCCTTCGGACTGGAGAAATAATTTCCCTAGAACGTGACTAGATATATCTAGTCTACTTTCTTCCTGCCTACAGTGTGCAGCAGAAGGGTTTCATTACCATTATTTTTACATTGATTTACAGGCATGAATTCAAACGTGATATAGCACGACCAGGCTATATTCTAGAAGTGCACTTACACTTTCTGTGTCTTCAAGCATCCTTGTGGTTTCCTGCACTTCAGGGGCACTTGGGACTACAACTGGCATTGGAGGCCGAGTCCTTCCTAGAGTTCCAATTGATGCTGTCTTCACTGAATGAACTGGATGGCTAGAAGCTTGACACAATTATAATCATGGTTAATCTTTTAACTGACAAACTTATATAATGGCATATTGATAATGTAAAAGGTTTGTTGCCATTAAATAGTTTATATCCATAAATACAGGAAAGATGGCAACTGTGGCATCATGATCCAAACCCCTCCCTTTTGTACATGCGTCAATGAGCCACATCTATACAAAAGGATGGTGTTTCAATTGCAATAACTGAACAATCTTGCTTGTTTTAATGAACCTCCTTGGTTGCAGAGGAGGAAGAGCAGGAGCCAGGGAAGCTCCTTATTTTTAAGGAGTTGGGTTCTATCACTGCAGCCTTGGCAGAACCAATGCCCACAGCTCCTGGTTCAGCCACCTAGTCTATAAGAGCATCAGTGCAATTGCATTGATATCCAAAGTTCAAAGAGATGGAAGAATGCTAGGTTTGTTGGAAGAACCCTATGGGAATTGTGGTTTACCCAGGAGAAATTTATTTGTCCTGTATTCAACTTTCTGCAGCTAATTATGATTAGTACTAGCTATATTTGGGTGATAATGGAACAATTTCTGTGGCACTTTTGAGCTGACAGCATTTCTGGCCTAATCAGCTGAAAACTCTTGTTTTCCTCAGACTGACAACACCTTATTACTTGCTACTCCTTATTACTTTTTCCTCCTAATTACTTTTTATTGATACATAACTCTGCATGTATTGAATACTGGACTGGAACCAAGGACTTCAGAACTACTGATTATCTATGATGAGTGAATAAGTTTGAACACAATTCTGTGACAAGGGTTACATAGCTCAAGAAAAAGGCGAAATCGTTTTTATATAAATTCCACAGAATAAAAGAAAGCTAAAGGGTGGGAACAAGGGTAATGTCTTCCCAGTTTCCCTGATAAATTGGCAAGAAAGGGGAGATCAGGTCTTTGCATTAAAGCAAATAAAAAAGTCAGTGTAAACAAAAAGGTGATTTATTCAACTTCCCTCAGCAGGGAAGACATTCTTGCAGAGAAGTGCCAATAAACTGACCTTCTAGAGAAATTGTGATTTTGTTGCAGTTGTCAAAAACCTCAAAGAAGCTCTGACACTCTTCTCTAGTTCAGTGTTTTTCAATCTTGGCAACTTTAAGATGTGCGGACTTCATCTCCCAGAATTCCCCATCCAGCATGCTGGCTGGGGAATTCTGGGAGTTGAAGTCCACACATCTTCAAGTGCCCAAGTTTAAAAAAACAGAGATCTAGATCACATTAACAGTATCGCTGAACGATTCCCTCCATTCTACTTTCACTCTTCTGTAACACAGTCACTGGTACTCACCTTGCTGTGATAACAAAGGTGTGCTTGGCAAGGCAGGGTCATAGGTGCTGCCAGTGGGTGGGACTGCTGGCACCGCAAAGCTTTTCAGGGGATGAGAGGGACGGACGTGGGCAGTGGGGAGGTTTTGGTTCGTCTCCTCTTCCTGTGTACTGGGCAGGTAAGATCCGGAAGCACTCTCTGGCTCTTGGTGGTCAGCACAGCATGTCTGAGATGAAGAAGCTGGCATGGTATCTGTGCTAGGTGTATTTCGAACAGATTCTGGAGATTAGGAAAGAAAATGAAAGATTAGATTTACTTCCAAATAACAATCCCAGAGTCCCTGAAAATGCCAGGCATCTTCAGTGGCATTAGGTAGTCCCCCAACAGTAAGTCACAAACATCCTTTATTCCCAAACAAGGCCAACAACTGAGAGGATGAGAAAGTCACCCCAAAACTCACCTAGTCAGCATTTACACAAACCTCTACACTGCTGCTAAAGTCTTATGCTTTTAATGTAGGTTATATAATGGGTTAATTTAAAAAAAAAATCTTAGGATCTGATACAATCATTGAATCAAAACAAATAATATTAAGCTTTCTAAAATACCATTGAATTTGTTATCTTATTCATCCTCCTTTATATTTCTTAGCTGGATAGCTTTTAAGTAGTTTTATTAATGCTAGGTACAGATACCTCCAAGTTGTCAATTTTTCCATTTTGGATGCAAGAATGGGTACTCTGATGTTGGAATTTAGTTCAGTCCACTGTTGCAAAAAGAAGCTACTAGCACTCTACAATTAAATAAGGGAGTATTCTCACTACAGAGTCACTATTTGCAGCCTTAATAGTAAGACAGCAAATTATGCAAATCTAAATTCTCAACAGAGAAACTGAATTACCATCAGAGCCAAGATAAAAGCTTAAATGTGCCATTCACTAAAAACACAGAAATGACAACCTTATTCTCAGAGCTTAAAAGGTTGAGGGCTATTGAACAGTAACAGTTAGCTATGACTTAAATATAACAGAGTATGCAGAACAAATCAAATCCATCTATAACATTTGCTATTACAAAAGGAAAAAGGAACACAAAATTAGTTCAATCGGTAGATACAACCTTCTGAGTTTAGTAGAATTGGGCTAGAGATGGCAACCCAAACATGTCATTCGATGTTTGTAATTGGATAATATGAGGCTCTTGTCCTCACATTTCTTTTGCTAACGGTTGTCCTCCAAAAACAGATCATTCTTCTCACCTGTGGAATTAGCCCTGTCTGAATGGGACACAGATGTGCCAACTGGCCATAGGTTTGCCTGATGATGGAGATAGTTGCAGGTTGGAGAAGCGAGGCTGCCGGAGTGGAAATGATGGTGAGGGTTATCAAGGGAATGGATGGGATGAGCACTAATCACAGCTGCGAATGAACATAAGACAGAAAAAAAGCTTAACACAGACCAACCAGCATGCATGCTGAAGTGAAGCCCACCCACTTTTATCAACAAAAATGCATTAAAACAAACAGACAGACAGACAGACTAGGACTCCTGGTTCCAGATTCCTGGAAGAAGAGGAACTATTCTGTCAAGAAATTTCCAGGGATATAAACATTAGGAAGCAAGAATTGCAGATGCTGGCTTATTCGGTGCTGAAGCATCTGATTTGCTTGAAAGGAAACTTCATGGTTTCCTAGGACCCTGTGTTGAGGTGAGGAGTGAGACTGGAGTACAGATGATAAAACTGAAGTTTCTGTTATATATGAGCAAAGAGGAATTATGATATCTGAGGATGAACTGGCAGCTATGCACTGGATCATAATTAGGAATGAGTAATTTTGAACAAAGTATCTCCAACTTTACAGTATTATATAAAAGTAAATGTATGCATTCCTCAACATAAAATTGTAAGTATAATAAAAGAAGGGAAAACTGAATTCCAAGAAGCCAGGCTGAGGAAGAAACAGTACAGTACAAAATATTTTAGGGGGGGGGG